GGATTTGACCTGCGTTCTAGAGTCTCCAGGTCAGGGCCAGCCTGAGCTGCATGTCAAGACCCATTTGAAAAAGCAAAAAAAAAAAAAAAAAAAAAAAAGGAAAACCAAAAGAAAATCTCCTCTACTTACGGCAGCTTTAAAATGGTTGAAACATAAGGGATCTTTGGCATGTATGACGTGTCCAGGTCCCCTCCAGGGACTAGGAAGCCGCTCCTCACACAAAGGGCTTTAGGGTAATGAGGTGGGTAAAGTGAGAACCAGGAGAGGCGCCCAGGAGGGAAAAATGGATCCTCTACCAGGGCAGTCCCAGGGAGCCACCTTGCATGCACTGGAAAAGAGCCAGACTTTGTCAAGCCAGCTGGGGTATCGCCTTAGTCTGTTTGGACTGCGGTGCCCACTAGGGTTTTTGCCAACTTGACATAGGCTGTTGCCATCCGGGAAGAAGACCTCAACTGAGAAAATGCCTGCATCAGATTAGCCTGTGGGTCGGTCTATGGGGTGTTTTATTGACTGATGATTGATGGAGGAGGGAAGGTGGTGCCACCCTGAACAGGTGGTCCTGGGTTATATAAGAAAGCAGGCTAACTGAGCCATGGGGAGCAAACCAGTCAGCAGCACCCCTGTATGGCTCCTGCATCTGCTCCTGATTGAGTTCCTCCTGCCTGGGCTTGGTGGTGGACTTACACCCTGTAAGTCAAACCCCAACTTCTCCTAAGAGGTCTTTGGTTGATGTCAGATTCTCCTCTGTATGCTGCGATTGCCATTAATGAATAAAGAAAGCTGGCTTGAGCCTATAGCAGGGCAGACGAGAGGTAGGCAGTGAAAACTAAACTGAATGCTGGGAGAAAGTAGGCGGAGTCAGTGAGAAACCATGTAGCCCCTCCAGAGACAGACGCTGGGGATGAAACTTTACCCAGTAAGCCATAGCCACGTGGTGATACACAGATTAATGGAGACAGGTTAAACTAAGATGTAAAAGTTAGCCAGAAATACGCTTAAGCTATTGGCAGACAGTATTTGCAAATAGTATAGTTTCTGTGTGGTTATTTTGGATCTGAGCAGCCCGGAACAAACTATTGGCCTCCTACAACATTTGGTCAGTGTATTACCACAGCAATGGGAACCAAATGAAGACAATTGATACCAGGTTGCAGGGTGCTGTGGCGACAGACCTGACAACATTGTCTTGGGGAGGATTTTGGAAGTGTATAGAGCTATGGCTTGAAAAAGTTATTGAGTTCTCAGAACTGTTTTGTGGGATCTTGGAAGGAAAGAGGGTTGAGAGAATGAGGTGAAGGCGGCCTGGCTTGTGAGGTTCCAGAGGCAAGCAAAGGCTCTACCAGGGCCATTTGTGTGCTCAATTGGAATTAAGAATCTATGGTTTCTGGTCCGCTGCAGCCGGGACATCAGCTGGGATTAATAAGAGGCCAGCATCACTGAGGTGACCTCTCCAGGGAAGTTTCCTCAGGGTCAGCACACAGAAGCTGTGCCTCGGAGAGTGCCGAGGCTGCATCTCAACCTGGAAGTGAACTTGGTTACATGCAAGAGTCTCCTGTGGGCACGCGACTTGGTGGCACGAGGGGTCATGGAGAGTAGCTGAGGTTCGAACCTGTGCATCCAGGAGCAGTAATTGGTGATGATGGAGACTGCGGGTCTGAAGGGTCTGAAGTGGTCAAGGAGAGAGGCTGAGGCATCAGGGGGTAGGAAAGGCCACTGGTGAAGTACAACCTCAGATATGGTGAATATTTCTGCTTATTGGAGATCCTGGGACTGTGGGACAACCACCAAGGACAGTGGAGGACAGTGGCAGGTGTGGCATGAGCCAGCATGAGCCTATAAGACCAACGATGTATGTCGTGAATGGCAGAGCCAGCAGATCTGGAGTGGGGTAGGAGCTCATTTCGGGTTCTTAGACGGACACTTGTAGCTCTGTCCATTCAGACCCTTGAGGTGCTGCTGCTTCCATACCTGAAGGCTTCACCCTCAAGGCCTACTGGCCTTCTAATGCCGCCAACTTGGGATTAGATTGCAGCCTGTGACTTTGGACGGTGCATGGCAAACCACCCGCAGAAGGTGTTTTCTCAGAGGAGTGGCCTGCAGGGACACAAGATAGCTGCATTGCTGGATGTCGGCTTTTTGCTTTGATCTGTTATAACTGTGTCCTGCCTTTTTGGAATAATGAAGCGCATAAGTTATTTATTTTATGGGAGCCCACAGTTAGGAGACTCTGGACTTTTAAAAGAGATTCTGGGTATTTTAAAGACTGAACTTTAAAACTGAGTGTATTAAAGATCGTGGGACTTTTCAACATTGTTGTACCATGTTTTATATTGTGTTGGTAACGGAATGTTAGGGGTAAAACAGAGCCGGCTGGCCTCAAACAGAAGCAGATCTGCCTGCTTCTGTCTTCTGAGTGCTGGTATTAAAGTTGTGCACCACCACTCCTGACCAGGTTATAGTCTGATAGCAGTGTGTTTAGTGTGCTACATCAAAGGGTCAATTGTACCAGTTAGTTTTTAATACAAGTTAGGGTCATCTGGGAAGAGGGAACTTCAACTGAGAAAACGTCTCCATCCCACTATAAGCAAGTCTGTGGAATATTCTCTTGATGGATGATGGATGTGGGTACCATCCCTAGGCAATTGATCCTGAGCTGTGTGAGAAAGCAGACGGAGCAAGCCATGGGGAGGAAATAGGTAGCTGACGGCCAGCTTGAGTCTTACGCCAGAGACCAAATGAAGAGCAAACCTCAGTGCTGTCCCTGAGTCGCTTGCTCCCTTGCCTGTCCTTCCTGCACTCGACCGTAACCACTCTCAGAGGTGCCAGTGACCCGCTCTCCTCCACCCTCAGCTTACTTCTAGGGTGTCCGATGACTACCCCCGCCAGCTATCCCAGCCATGGCTACATTGTGATCCGCAGACAAAGCCCCCGGGCCCAGCTTCCATGTCCATCCTCGCAGTGGGCTCTCACACTGTCCCCTGGCATCGGTGCCTGCTTATGACTTTCTTGAATCCGTTTTTCTTACAGTTGAGGAGGTCGTTTTAAACTGTAAACCCCATCAGATTCCTCCCAGGGCTTCCAGAGCCGAACAGGTTAAGATCCCAGCTGCTGCCTTTAGTGTAGATGAAGCATGATGCCGACACCTGGTCCCTGCTCACGAGTTCTCTCCCCAGTCTCACCCTTCTTGCCTGACCTGGCAGTGCTCTGTGATATCCAACCCCAGCATACCTGAAGCTCCTCTCAGCTTGCTAGAAGGAGCTCCCTCTACCCTCAATCTGCAAACACCAGGCACAAAGCCACCGGCCAGCGTCCGTCGCCGCGTCAGGCTGCCCTGGGGCTGACTCACTGTCTGGTCCCAGCACCCAGGAGAGCCTCAGGAACACTGTGCACCACGAAGGGCCCTCCTAGAGGACTTGTGCCCTAGTGTGGCTCTGGTTGACCGTTCCAGTTCCCCTGGCTCATTTGCAAAGGAATTTGTCTTGGCGGCTCTTAAATCTTAGGGCAGTGCCATATGGGAAGCGGTTGCCTCTGTAGCCCTGACCGGATGCGGGAATCGACCTGGTTCACACCAGTTCTTTCTGTAAACGTGTCGGCATCGGCATTCTTTCATGTAGCGAAGAAGCTAGGTGTCGATGGAAAAAGAATCTAAAACATGAAGTGATTTTTTTTTTTTGAGGGGGGAAAGCTGAGAACAGGGTCTCACTTTGTGTCCCAGGCTGCCCTCTAATTCATGGGCCTCCTGCCTCAGCCCCTGACCCAAACTCTGGGACCCTAAGCACGCACCTTGCTTGGGTTCAGATCAGAATCTGTAAGATGGTACCAACAAGTCTCCAATATTTAGCAAGAATGGCATGTTGCTTCGTGATTCATCCTAGTGGGCAGATGTTGTACATGGCTTGGCATAGACCCGTGTGTTCCCTCAATATCACTCTCAGATTATCAGAAACAATGGATCCCATAAACTGGAATTTCCTCAGGAATCTCACCTGGGAAGAGGTAAAGATTGAAGCCTGGTGCGGGACCTTACCTTAGCAGAAACCGCTTAACTGTGCACATCCCTGGCCCTGTATGTGTTTCAGCCTCTCTATAGGACTCCTGAGGATGGCAGCATTTCTTTGTCCCTCTCCCCACTGCGGCTGCATTGAATTGCCTTTTCCTGCCTTTTTTTTTTAAGACAATCTCTCTGTGTAGCCCAGGCTGGTCTTGAACTCAGAGATTCACCTGCCTCTGCCTTCTGAGTGCTGGGTACACCACCAGTCCTGGTGTGATTTTTTTTAAACTTTGAATTTGGCTCCTTTAATTAGCTTTTCAAGGACAAATGACAAAACTAGGCCTCTTGGGGTACAGAGTGTGGCCTCAAGTTTGGGAATGTCGTTGCAATGATAAGACAAAGTTTTTTAACATATGTTGTCTTAAACTGGAGATATGGCTTAGTCAACTAAAGTGTGTGTGGTACAAGCACGCAAATCTGAGTCTGATTCCCCCTGCCCCCACAGAACAATCTGGGCACAGCTTCACACCTGAAATCCCAGTACTAGGAAGGGGTTCCTAAGGCTTGCTGGCTAGCTGGAGTAGCCAGTCAGTGAGCTCCAGGTACAGGGAGAGACCCTGTCTCAAAAACAAGGTGCAGTGCTATCAAGGAATACAGCTGGCTGTGAGCTGGCCTCCACATGTACTTACATGCACACATACCCACCCACCATGCACAACACTCTTTTTTAGCATTTGTTTTTCTTTAAAGATGATCTTAGGCTTCATGACAGCCTTTTTTGTAATGGCACCGATAATGATCACTGTTCCAACCCCAACACATGCAGAATGCTCTGGGATTCACTGGCCGTGGTCTGTGGTGCCTCCTACCCACAACGGAAACGTGTGAAGCACCCACTTGAGTATCCAGGCATCCCTGAGGTCTAAAGTTTCCATCAGAGTGCATCTTCTGCTAAGAACAAAATCAAAATCTGTTTCCGAAATAATGGGGGCTTGTTTTTAAGCACCTGAAAGCTTAAATGATTTCGTTTATTTGGGCCATTGAAATGTATATTTAGTCTATTAAAGCGAATCATTGGGTTGTCTAAACTACCTTCCAGACGGAACCATTTTCTCCCATCTCCGTTTTCCGTTGCTGTGATCTGCCGAGGGGACAGTGACACACATCCCAAGTTCCTGTGCTTTCCACTTACTCATATGCGATGCCAAAATACACTATGACAAGGGTGTCACCCAGTCTAGAAAGTGAACACTGTCTGCTGTGGGCTGAATCTGGAACGTTCCATACAGGCACATGTTCTGAGCACTTGGTCCACAGCTGGCGGTGCTGTTTCTGTAGATTATGGAACTTTGGGATGTGGGACACAGCTAGGAGATGCAGGCCATTCAGGGTGGGCCTGTGGAGCTTAGACCCATCAACAGGTGAGGAACCGTATAATATACTCCTGCCATGGCCAAAGACGGATCGCTCATGCTGCCATGCCTTCCCGGCCACAATAGAATCCGCAAACCTTCTCTCCCCTCAGTGTCTCTGAGGTGCTCTGTCTCGGGGATGGGAAAGGCAGCTAACACAGCCTCTATTTGATAAGCACAGGCTGTGTGTTTTCTGTGTTCCCAGTTGGGAACAAATGAGAGTCTACCTCAGTTACCCCAGATGCACCACACTGGAGAGGTCACATGTGGACAGTGGAGCACACAGACCAAGACCCCAAGTGCCCAAAGGCAAGAGGTGTCCCTTTAGAATTGGCAGGGTTCCAGGCAGGTGATTTATCTGTTGTCCCAGCTACTCAGAAAGCTAAGGCAGGAGAATCCTTTATCCCGGCAGTTCCAGCCTGGTAAAAACTGACAATCTGTGTAACAAAACAAAGAAATTGGTTAAGAAAAATAAGAACTGCCGAACTGTGGTGGTGCACACCTTTAATCCCAGCACTCAGGAGGCAGAGGCAGGCAGATCTCTGTGAGTTTGAGGCCAGCCAGGTCTACAGAACAAGTTCCGGGACAGCCAGGGCTACACGGATATGTAGCCTATCTCAAACAAACAAACAAACAAACAGAAAAGGAGGCACACACATTGGTAATCCCAGCCCGTGGGAAACTGAGGCAGGATGACCAAGATATCAACATCCTATTTTACTACTTACCAAGTTTAAGGCTAGCCTGGGCTATGTGGTCTCCTATTTCCTAAATGCCCCACCCCCTCAAAAAAGAAAAAGACAAAGATGAAGAAGAAAAAAATTCTCCGCACAAACCAAGAATGGGGAGTGTCCTAGCCTGCTCAAAGAATGTTCCCTTGTCTCTGTCAGAGCAGAAAAGACTATCCCACTGGAACAAGTCCTAGCGCTTCTGGAAAGAGTGAGAAATAATGGCCTAGAAAAGGAAGAAATTGCTGTCATTGTAGACAAATTGGCTGCCAATCAGGAAAGGAATGTTTCCCCTATCAGAAGTGATAAGAAAGGCCAAAGGCCTTCTGAGAGGTTGCTGGGCACTGCCTCCGACAACAAAACACACCATTCAAGAGCAACAGCAAAGCAAAAGTCTTAGAAATTTTTCTAAATTTCCAAGATTCTAAAGGGCCTGGATATGTCTCAGTGGATAACTTTATACTTATTCTACAGGGCATTTGGATCTGGGTGACTCACAACCAGCTGTAACTCTACCCCAGGGAATCTGATGCCCCCTTCAGGCCTCTGAGAGCAACTGCACCCACAGGCACATACCTGCACACAGACATACATAGACACGTACATTTTACACATAGTAAAACAACACAATAAATCTTCATCCTAACAAAACTGAGACCCAAAGTAGAGGACCCTGCTCTCCCTAGGGCATTTGACGGTGTAGTAAGTAAGTTCCAGAATATTGATGTTGCCCACAAAGTGTTTTTTCTTGAAATAACTTGAACTGTGTGAAACAAACCACTCAGCCATTGAGCTGGGGTGTCAGTTCCCTTCTGCCTGGCTGCCTCTAACAGGAAACCACCAGTCAAGAAAACACTTGGCAGACAACCAGACTGCCTCTAAGACAGCCCAGGTGTTCAAATCCTCCCCTCCCACTCTGAGGAACCCTTTACCCCAGCTGTAAGGACCCCTGCAGCTGAGTTCAGACTCACTCTCCAGGTGTGGCTCCAGGCCCTGCATTGGCCTTGGAAGACACACCCTAAGATTAGCCTCTGCAAACTGGAGGCCCAGCTCTCCCAGCAGCTATTTCTCAGCTATTTTCCTGCAGACCTGAGGGAGAACTGTCAACCCTGAGGGCTGTGATTGGTCTTTATGTAAAGCCTCTGATTGGTGGAAGCTTAGCACCTAACTAGCCAGTCGTACATTGTTCTGAAGTGACAAATCCCCCTTTGCCATAGATGTCCAACATTTTAAGTAGAAGCTGCTCCCTCACCCAGGTCCCAGAGACAGCTCACAGAGGACACAGGCATTGCTTATGGTGTTGCCAAAACAACAATCTGAGGAAAGAAAGGTTTGTTTGGGCTCATGATCTCAGGGGGATTTTGGTCTGTCACAGTGGAGAAGGCATGGTACCAGGAGCATATGGTGGCATTCATGGCAGCAGGAGCAGACATGGAAAGAAAGACCCTTCATGCTGAGTGGATCAGGACGCAGAGAAAGCAGGCTGGGACCAAGGGTATGTAGAACTCTCAAGGGGCTGCTCTGAGTCTCCCATCATCCAGGCTCATCTCCTAAAGGTTCCGCAGCCACCAGCTGGGAGCCAAGCGTTCAAACATGACCTCGTAGCAGACACAGAACCACAGCTAGAACGGGCCTGCAATCCCAGTAAGAGTCTGGGGGATGAGGGAGGTGCTTGGCCACCTAAGTGTTTGCTGTTCGAACACAAGAACCCAAATTCAGTGCTCAGAATGCATGTGAAGAAAATCAAGTGTGGTCACGCTTGCTTGCAATTTCAGCCCTGGGAGAAGTGGAACCCGGGAGAAACTTGGGGCTCCTGGACCAGCAGGCCAAGTCCTAGCTCAGTAAGAGATCTGAGGAACAGAAACTTGAGGTTGACCTCCAGCTCATACCACCACACACATTCCAAAGGAAATCTACCTCCACCTTGCTGGACTCCATTGGGATCTGTGGGGGTCGTTTGTTATTTCTGCATAACCTGGCCCATCCTAACTGATCAAGGCACCTGCTCAAAGACCCAGAAATTCTACTTTCAGGCTGTCTCTCTCGTGACTCTCCTCCCCAGGCAACAGTAAAAGAACATGGTAGCCGCACAGCGGCTGAAGAACCCGAAAGTAGCTCTGGAGAGGACAGACTTGTCAATGACGGTGGGCGGTCTCTGCAGAAGGGACGTCCTGGGTGCCACACACAACAGCAGGAGCTATAAATACAATTCTGATGACCACAGCAGCTCACAGCCGCCTCCACACAGCACAATAGGTACCACACCGGGAAGCTCAGAACACTCTGCACCGTTCCAGGGTACCTAACCACAGGAGAGGATTCTTGGAATCAAGAGAAAAATGAGAAAGAGGGAAGAGGCTCAAATTTTGCAAGATCCCCAATTTTTATATTTTTAAGTGGTTTCTAAAAATTGAAAGGCTAATGTGGCTAACACAGATAAGAATAATGGGCTAATATAAGTTGTAAGAGTTAATAAGAAGCCTGAGCTAATGGGCCAATTAGTCTATAGTTAAAAAAATTGAAAGGCTAGCTGGGTATGCTGATGCAGTTTTAGTTCCAGCACTTGGGAGGCAGAGGCAGGTGGATTTCTATGAGCTCCAGGCCAACCTGATCTATATAGTGAGTTCTAGTCCAGCCAGGGCTACACAGTGAGATCTGGTCTCAAAATAAATAAATAAATAAAATGGAAAACAAGTTTTAGCTCTTGTTGTACAGGAGCCATAGAAATGCAAGCAGCAGCCATGTTTGAGCATGGCAATGTATGTGTGCGTGCAGGGGTGGGGGGGGTGAGAGGCCTCGCTCCAGTGAGGTCACAGCTGTGTCCTTCCTAACAGTGCTCTGTGCCTTTCCTTCATGACCTGTTTACTGAGCCTGACACAGAGGGACAGGCAGAAGTGTGGGGAGGGACAAACACAGCAGACGTTTGAACTCCTCCGAAGAAACCCCTCAAACTCTGACAGGCCTTTCCAGACAGGGTCACAGGGCCTCCCCCTCACCAGACAGTAGAGGGAGGTGTCGTAGTAAGTGAGAAGCCAGGGGAATTTGGTGGGGGAAACATACTGCATCTTATAGCATGTGTCATATTTACACATACCACACACACACACACACACACACACACACACAAACTCACACATACACACCTACATTGATTTTTACAATGATTTTAGCTGGACCATTGGTCCATGTGACCCAATTGAAAGTTCCTTTTTCTTTAGATTAAATTATACATATCTATATATCCATATAATCTATATCTAGATATATCTTGGGGTTCTTTAGGGGAGTTAGTTTTTTGTTGTTTGTTTATCTTTCAAGACAAGGCTTCTCTATATAGCCCTGGCTGTCCTAGAACTCACTATGTAAACCAAGCTAGCCTTGAACTCACTTTCCTTGCCTCCCTAGTGCTGGGATTAAAGGTGTGCACCACCATGTCCAGCATTTTATATATATATATATATATATATATATATATATATGTATGTGTATGTGTGTGTGTGTGTGTGTGTGTGTGTGTGTGTATATATATATATATATATATGTATATCTTGTTAAGGAGATCTAGAAATTGTTCTTTAACTTCATTTTCTTCCCACAGTCCTATTAAAAATGTCAAGGGCAGGGAGGGAGATGGCTCAGTGGTTAAGATACTGGTTGCCCTTGCAAAGAACCCAGATTTAGTTCCCAGCACCCACGAGGCGGTTCACAACCATCTTTAGCTCCAATTCCCAAGGATTCAGCAACCTCTCTTCTGGCCTCTGCTGGCATCAGGAATCCACATGGTGTGTGTGTTTGTATGCACACACACATACATGCAGGCAAAACACTCATATACATTAAGCTTAAAGATAAAAATGTTTTAAATGGTAAAAACCAATACATTATCATTAGCAGAGGTTTGGATGGTGTTCACGCCTACGTATTGTCTGGGATGGTGTTTGAGAACAGTCCTTGTGTGGCTCCTTGCCTTCTGAGGATCCCCATGCCTCCTGGGATGTCATTTCATAGCTCGTAGCCTCCTCCTCCTTCTTCTTCCTCTGGAAATCGGCAGCTACAAGCATCTTCCTCTTGAGCTGTTCGAACTGCCATCTTAAATGCTAGGAAACAACAGAAACAATGTAAGACGCTTCCAGTCTGCTGTCTCACCCACAAACCTTCCCAACCCTAAGTTGAGCAATTTACCCACCAACCAGCGAACAGCATATATGAGCTTTCTGGAGATTGATTATTTTATCTTACTGTATTTTGTTTTATTATGTTGTGTTTTGTTTGCAGACAGGGTCTCTCAACTGGGATTCTCTATAGATCAAGCTGGCCTTGGATATGTGGTAATCTCCCTAGATCAGTCTCCCAAGAACTGGTGTTACAGTATGTAATCCCCAGCATATCAGGATTTCCTTCTTTCCATCCTTCCTCTTTGGTTGGAGTCTCCAGCTCTCTCCTGCAGCTCCTTCCTGCATGGTCTGAGAAGCCCCATTTCTGTCTCTCCAAACCCTGCCCATTTAGGAAATCTCTGAACAAAGGAAAGGCACCAAAAAGCCCATGTCCACATTCTTGGCAGCTATGGTAGCTCCTCCCCTGAAGTTGCCAGCAGTCCAAGTCCCCGCCTAAAGTGATCAGCTTTTGACCATACTTGGGCACAAAACTCAACTTGTGGCAGACACTTCATAGCCCCTTGCCTACGAGCTATATAATCTCCCTGCTTTTGTCTGGCGCGTGGCTTCTCTGACTTCCATCTCTGGGACTGGAGAACCCACCCGGCAGTTGCTTTGCTCAAATAAACCTGTTCTACTTTTTCAATTCGACTTGATCTGACTTACTGCATCAGTGGAGAAATATGACTTACTGCATATTATGGGGGCACAGAAAACCTATTCTTTCCTTCCTTCCTTCTTTCTTTCCACCTTTCCTTCATCTTTAAAAACCATTTTCTATATTTTATACACTGGCTCAACAACAACAACCCAAAGCTGGAGCCCAGCTCACAGCAGCATAAAGCATGGCTTACGCTGCAGGCACAACTGTGGATTCAATGCAGCAGCCCCTGCCCAAACTTGCTTTGTAGACCAGACTGGCCTTGAACTCAGAGATCCACCTGCTTCTGCCCCCCCCCCCCCGTGCTGAGATTAAAGATGTGCGCCACCACTGCCTGCCTCTGCATCCCCAGTGCTGGGGTTAAAGGTGTGCACCACTACCGGCTATCAGCACCCCTGCTTTACTCTCACACATTATTTCAGACTGACATTTCCTTTCGGTGTGATCCTGTGGCTGTGTCCCAACTCTGTCTGCTCTGTGTAGCAGCAGAGCCGCTCTTACACACAGCTGGGACCCATCTGCCCTCACAGCTGAGCACTCTTCTATTTCTAGTTCCTTTAAACTTAACAGGCAAAGGCCCTGTTCCAAGGCCATGTCTTCTATGTTCTAAATCTTATTTTTAAAGGGAGGCATGGGAGGGGAAGGAAGTTAAGTCAAGACTGAAAAATATTGATGGGATATCTTTTGAAATTGTATCCAAGATTAACCAAAACAGTAGTGATTTGCTTCAGGTAGAAGAGACCATACTTCTCTGTATTTGCTGCTCTGTACCGTCCAAAACTCCATACATACACATAACCTATAAAACAAGCCCAAGATGGCTGGGAGGAGAGAGGAGAGGGCAGGATGGCCGAGAATCCCAGGGCCTAGGATGCAGCGTGGCAGTAAGTGGTGTGGGCTTTCTTTCTGCCTCCTGTTCCCAGAGAGGAGCTGAAAGAGTGGGGAGCCTGGGGATGCCAGCACAGAGATCGGGAAACCCCGCCCACTCCAGCTACCAGACTAGGGACAGACCAGCCTAGCAAGATGAGGAGCTTCTACACAATCAGGGATGGTTACAGTAAAGGCCAGGGCCAGTGCTAGGCCCCACAGGTAAGGGAGCCTGTTACCTTGGCTAGACTGTGTTATACAGAAAAACCAAAAAAAAAAAAAGAGTTAAGAACCAGATGTCTCAGTAGGTAAGAGCACTTGTTGCTCTTGCAAAGGACTCATGTGCAGTTCCAAGCACCCACACAGTGATGCATAACTACCTGTAAGTCCAGTTCCAGGGGATCTGGCCTCCGGGTGTTCCTGCATGCATGTGAGCCACTCACAACTCATGCAAGCAAACACATGTGACATAAATAAAATAAATAGTAAATACATTTTTAAAAAAACAGCCAGGAGTCAAAAATCAGAAATAGATGAGTGACCCCCAGAGAAAGGGAAGAACTGAGAAGGACGAGCAGGGCTGAGTGAGGAGGGTGAGCAGGGCTGGATCTTAGTTGTGAATAGTTTGGGGTCCTTGTGTTTGCTTGTTTGCTGTTGAGTTGTGTAACCTCTGGCCTTGACCTTGAGAGCCTCCTGTTTCTATCTCCCACGCACTGGAGCTCCAGGCAGGCTTTTCAGACCCACTTTTCAAGTCCTGTATTTCAGTTGTGTTGCTTGGTAAACAAATCTACAGACCTGATAAAGTGACGTACAGCTGTGTGAGTTCTGTGCATCGCTGTCCTGGCCTCACTGTGATGTTAGAACCTTGTGAACGGCACGTGGAACTATTCTGCTCCTTGTTTGTGACTGTCTATGTGTAATTATAGAAAAATGAAAAGTTTCTTTTTTAATGGCTACAAGACCCTCATTACTGATCGATACCTTTGAAAACGTGTTCACAGAAACCTTGTTGCCTCTCTAGGAGGAAATACGGTTCTAGGCGGCTTAACGGTCTCCTCCAGAGCCAGAAGCCTGGAATGGGGCGGGAAAGACTGCAGCTGGGGATAGGGTGCCCTTCATTGATAAAGAAAGAACAGTTCCTCCGTGGGAAGACTTCTCAGAGTAAGAACTCCAAACAGTCAATCAAAGTGAAACGGCATCCTAACCTCAGACATCGTCAAGGAAATGTAAATCAAAACCGCAATGAGCCACTCTTCCCCACCCACCAGACAGATAAAAATAGCGCTGCTGCACCCAGCATTCACACGGAAGTGAGGCGAATGGAGCGCTCTCACCCTCACCCCGTTGAAGAGGCGTTCAATGTGGCCCCCACTACTTTTGGAAAACAGTTTGACCTACCTACTTGGACAGGACTTAAGTTACTCATTCCCACGTCTTTCCCCCCCAGGTTAAAAAACAAAAACAAAGCTTGGAAAATGGTTTGGTAGCGAGTGCTCACCCTGAGGTAGCGAGGGCTCACCCTGAGGTAGTGAGTGCTCCCCCCGAGGTAAGTAGTACTCTCCCTGAGGTAGCCAGTGCTCACCCTGAGGTAGCCAGTGCTCACCCTGAGGTAGCCAGTGCTCTCCCTGAGGTAGCCAGTGCTCACCCTGAGGTAGCCAGTGCTCACCCTGAGGTAGCCAGTGCTCACCCTGAGGTAGCCAGTGCTCACCCTGAGGTAGCCAGTGCTCAGCATGAGAGCAAGAAGAGCAGGATTCAGATTCCCAGTACCACATAAAGGCCAGGCAGGGCAATAATCGTTGTGACCCCAGAAGGCAGAGACAGGATCCCTGGGGCAAGCTGGCTGGACACATCCATGATGGACTCTGGGTTCAACTAAGAGGACTGAGTGGAGGGCAGTCCATAAAGATGCCTGCCCCCAGCCTTGATGTCTACACATACATGTGTGCACACGTGAATGTACGCACATGCACACTATACATACAGACACCCACAGAACAGAACCATGCGTTGTTATTTTATAAGAAATGTAGAAGCCTGGATTTTGATCACAGGGGACTGGAACTCGACCTGTGGGTAAATCCCTTCCTTCCTTCCTTCCTTCCTCCCTCCCTCCCTCCCTCCCTTCCTTCCTTCCTTCCATCCTTTCTTTCTAAAGACAAGTTCTCACTATGTAGCCCTGACCGGCCTAGAGTCACTCTGTAGACCAAGCTGGCCTCAGATTTACAGAGATCTGCCTGCCTCTGCCTCCTGAGTGCTGAGATTAAAGGCATGCACCACTACCGCCCGGCCCTTTGAAACTTTTTTATTTCTGAAATAATCTACCTTACACCCACTTCAGCATCATCCAATTCTCCCCACTTCCTCAAGTATGGACCAGAGCTAAGACCAAGGCTATTTACCAACTCGAGAAGCAACACTGGGTGGGGTGATGTGCTTTATGGTGCTATGTATACAAGTCAGAGGTCCACCTTTGCTTGCTTGCTTTTGTGTGGGTCTCTCACTGGCCTAGAGTTTACCAATAGATGAGCCTGGCTTGTTAGCAATTCCCTGGGATCTTCCTGTCTCTGCCCATCTCTGCCCGTCACCGCCTGTCACCGCCTGTCTCCGCCCGTCACTGCCCGTCTCTGCCCGTCATTGCCCGTCTCTGCCCGTCTCTGCCCGTCTCTGCCCGTCTCTGCCCATCACTGCCCGTCTCTGCCCGTCTCTGCCCGTCTCTGCCCGTCTCTGCCCGTCACTGCCCGTCACTGCCCCTCACTGCCCGTCTCTGCCCGTCTCTGCCCGTCACTGCCCGTCTCTGCCCGTCACTGCCCGTCTCTGCCTGTCACTGCCTGTCCTGCATTGGTATTTTACAAGCACATACACTTGCAAAGCAAACGCTTTACCAACCAAGCTGTCTCCCCAACTTCTGAGGCAATGTTCTTTCCTGATTCCTCTGTGTCGTGGGCATGGGCTGACTGGGTACCCACACTTATATGTGCACAGTTATCCGGGACCATAGCCTATGTGTCTGTTGTCTTCCCTACACTCTGGGTCCTGTTCCATCTCCATCTCTTCCCGAATGAAATGCAGAGCCCAATTCTTGTGGCTAGGGGGCCCTCCCTGTACATTGTGGGGGTGGGGAGGCTACTCCAAGTCACAACTACACATACCTCCCAGCACCAAGTCACAACTACCCCCACTGCCTCCAGACATTGTCAATCCCCTTGTGGGAACAAGCTTGTCCTGACTTTACACCTATGTGATAGCCTCCCCGCCTCCCATGATGTGTTGGCCTTACGTTGCTTGAACAAGTAGGGGAATTTCTTGCTGTTCCATTTGGCCACAATGGGCCCCAGAGTGATGCAGAGTAGAAACAGCAGTATGGCCGATGTCAGCGCCAGCAGCCAGGTAAGGACTTGCAAGGAGTTCCCTCTTTCTGGAGCAAGGAGAGAAACGCCAGAGTGAGGGTAAAGCTGACCTGCTCTCACCCTGCAAACACATGGGCTCCAGTGAGGCAGCACCCTGGGCACCCCAAGCCCATAACCTAACAAGCTTAGATGACTTTACTGTCTTTTGTTTGTTCCTTCTGTTTTGTTCCTGAGACAGAGTCTCATGGATCCCAGGCTAGCCTCGAACTCCATTTGTACCTGAGTGTAACCTGGAACTCCTGATCTTCCTGCCTCCACCACCAGGGTGGGGACTGCAGGCATGCAGCATCATGCCCAAATCCATGCCCAAATCCATGCCATCCTGGGCGTGGAATCCAGGGCCTTTCCAGCATGTAAAACAAGGGCTCTACCAACTGAGTGACGTCCCAAGTTCTAAATCTAAGTGACATTTTAAAATGAGCCCGAATTTAATGATTTTCCCAGCAACTAAGTAGCCTGGACTACTGAGCGTAACATATGAGGCCCTTTAGTTCCCTGGCCTTGGCCTTTGTAAGGCTATGTTATCTGTTTGGGATGAGGGGTCACCATTACTGATGACGACATCATCCAGGAATACAAGGCAAGCCGCGAAGAGGAGAGGACCCCAGAGCTGCCTGCTGTGGGCAGAGCTGGGAGACCCAGCAGCGCTGAGGGTATTCACATATAGTCTGCAGAGACATCATGCATTTGTTTGGATAAGACTTTTCAGAGAGTCTTGCTGTGTAGCCCAGGCTAGACTGGAACTTGCGGTCCTCTCACCACATCCTCTGCAGTGGTATGACTCTGATTATGATTCCTGCTGTGTGCCACCACACCCGACCATTAACTTGTATTTAGCAATAGCAATAAAACAACCACCTGATTTTCTCACCGGGGCAGTCACGGTCGGGGAGGTACCTGGAGAGGAGCTGACCAACGTGGGGCCACAGATCACATCTTTCTCTGTGGTTCCATTCTCAAGCACAGACTTTCCACCTAGAGAGCAGCTTAGATGGTCAAGAAAAGGAGTCAGATGATTAATTTGGGTCCAGAGGAGCACAGTGAAGCAAGCACCTGTTACTTGTTATCCCTTGACGTAACCACATGATACAGAAGGTGGGCTTGGGCTCCCAAGCAACGGGCAGATGATGTGAGAAACTCCCGCTGACTCTCATACAAGACCCTGTGACTCACAGAGCTCCCCTGTCCCCTAGAGGTGAGTCACTGCAGGTCTGCACGCCAGCCAGCCACTAGGTCCTTTGTTTTTCAGTTTATCTCAGGCTCTTTACATTGGAAGAGACCTGAGAATACATACGTACTTCGTCCACGGTCGGCAGGTGCCTCCCCCATCCTGAGCATTAAATGTCCCGAAGCCACAGTTTTTACAACCTTGAAGGAAAGCTGAGAATCACTAGGAGGCATTTTACCATTTTACAATGTTCCCTTGATGAGCTGATGGCGTGGTGTCATAGGCTAACCTGTGCAAATTGCATCACGATGATTTTAAAACATTTTAATCTATTATCCACATGTATGTGTGCACACATCTGTGTGTGCACATGTGCATGTGAGTGCAGATGCCCACCAAGTCCAGAAGAGGGCGTCAGACCCCCCCCCCCAGAACTAGAGTTACAGGCCATTGTGGGCAGCCTGAAATGGGTACTGGGAACTGAACTCAAGTCCTCAGCAAGCACTGTATTTCCCCTTAACTAAGCCATCTCTCCAGCCCCTGCTTAGTGACTCTTGAATTGAAACCCCAAGACTGATCAATTTCAGTCTAATGATATGAGCAATGTTGTCTGTAACCAAAATGTGCAAAAATATATGGCTTAAGCGATTAACAAAATTATTTCCGTTTGTGAAAACACAGACTACATAGTGGAATATCATTACAACACTGTTAGCACCACAAACTGCATCTCTGTCCTTCACAAACCTGGGCGGAGAAAGAGCAAACCTACCCTGCTCCGTCAGCTCTTGGCCTGGCTTGCAGTCCTTTTCACACCAGGCACACTCTGGCCCCAAGCAGTGGTATCCCTTGATGCATTCACACTCTGCATTGCTGGTGCGGGAGCAAGGCTTCTTGAACCTGAAATAACCTACAAAGTCCCGGCTCTGCATTACCCTTGGAAACAAATTTGTATTGCAGTTGAAATGTGTGTGTGTGTGTGTGTGTGTGTGTGTGTGTGTGTGGTTCTGTGTTCATGTATATATGTGCATATGCATACATATGTGTATATATGTGTGTGTGTATATATATATCCATTGCTCTGCTTATAATGTTAATGATTATGTTGTGTTCACCTATTTACTGTCTTTGTGAAATAGGGTCTCATTGTATATCCCAGCCTACACTTCAAATAAGAATCTTCCTGCCTCAGTCTCCAGTGCTGGGATTGTGTGCCTCAGTGCCTGGCTTATAATGTTTTATTTTCAATCCCCATTAAGATATTTTTCCACTTTGCTCACTAAAAGATTTCCTTGGGCTGGGGAGGGAGCTCAGTGGTAGCGTGCTTGCCTAACATGCCAAAGTCCTGGGTCCCATCCCCGGCTCCTCATACACTGTATGGTGGCAAAGTCCTGGGTTCCATCCCTGGCACCTCATACACTGTGTGGTGGCACATGCCTGTAATTTCAGCATTTGAGCAAGAAGAAGAGACGTTTAAAGCCAGCCTAAGATATGTAAGACTCTACTTTAGAGAAAAAAAAAATCCAGGCATGGTAGTGCACACCTTTAATCTCAGCACTCCAGAGGTAGAGGCCAGAAGATCTGAGTTCCAGGCCATCTTGGCCTATATATTATGTTCCAGGTCAGCCAGGGCTACATAATGAGACCCAGTCTCAAAACAAAACAAAAACAACAACAAAAACCTTTCGTTTCAAATGAGTATTTCCTCTATTATTTAAAAAACCAGCAAAAATAAATAAATAAATAATGACTTGCTGGTGGTCATGTCAGAGGAACAGCAGCTGGCGATTGACTTCAGGGGATTGACCCACCAGCATGCAAGGCGCTGATGGGTGAATCTCAGACCACCAAGGCCCTGAGAGTGTCAGCCCCAGGATGGCTGTTGTTACTGCTGTATCTTTCCATGTCTGCTGCTGCCATTTTTCTCTGGTATCTAGAGTGGTGTGAATGGGCAGAAATTCCCTGCTGCCTGTAATGTCGTGTGATTATCTCATGGAAATACCCCATTCTCCTAGGCATTTTTACCATGGATTATTATGAAGATGATTTCCTCCTAAGCTGTGCTGTTTAAAGCAATGATTGTACACAATAATAATGTTCGTTTCAATAGGATGTTGATGCCTGGGAGGTCTTCAGTAGATATAGTAAGGGATTGTGATCGAGGTTACCTTAGTGGGACAGCTAAGACAGGCAAATGCGAGACACGGTGTTACTTCTGCCCCTGAGAAAGCAGGGGCTGCAGAAGACAGAAATAAGAACAGGGAAATATCACACAGCTAGTTTCTTCTGAGGCATCACATGGACTTGGCTTATGTCAATGATTAAGAAAAACAGTTGTGTCCCAGGAGCTAAGTCAGCTCACGTTTTTTCCTCTTAATATTGAGAGATGTGGTCACGGGTTGCAGTGTGCACCGTAGCTAGAACACAGCTTTAAATAATGACTTAAGGGTAGGTTAAGATGGCTTTGTAAATAGCTTCAAGGCAAATAAAAAATCTTGGAAAACTATTTTAGAAAGCTTGCTCTTAATAGCTGAGTGAGGGGCACGCTGAGGGCAGAGACCAAGAACAATGTAGCCTGGCTATTGCTGGCTGACCTGCTAGATGGCTTGGTGGGTCAGGCTGATGAGGAGTCCCTTGTGCCCATTTCTGCCCTCAGCTTCCTGATAGAAACACTTGTTGAGTGGGTATGCACCCGGAGGATTTAAAAGAGAGCTGACTGATTCTTTTTCATATATAAAAACTTAGATTTGTGGGGGCTGGAGAGATGGCTCAGAGGTTAAGAGCATTGCCTGCTCTTCCAAAGGTCCTGAGTTTAATTCCCAGCAACCACATGGTGGCTCACAACCATCTGTAATGAGGTCTAGTGCCCTCTTCTGGCCTGCAGGCATACACACAGACAGAATATTGTATACATAATAAATAAATAAATATTTTTTAAAAATACTTAGATGTGTGATTCTCCTAAGATTTCTTATGAGATTACCTTTTGAGATAAATAATAAAATGACTGGTCCTTTGTCTGTAACCAAAAAATGTAGCCTGCCAGTCAGAGAACTGACTGAGAAAGATGTCTTGCTCGCTTACACTCTTAAACTATAACAAGCTGCTTGGACATTAATATATGTGAGTTCTTGGGACAACTTGCTTTTCACCTGTAATGTGTAGAATATTTAATTGTGTAAGGGATGTGGAAAACATGCTGTCTTTCGCTTGTATTCACTGTAATCATTTTCTTAAAATAGTGTGTAACTTCTTTATAATTTTTATACTGCTTGAAAGATTCTGCTGAGGTATATAAGCTGTAGGAAAAAAAATAAAATTAGTTGGAAGGAAGATATCACGAGAGACAGAAGGGATACACCTAGAGAGAGGTAAGAAAAGAAAGAACAGAGAGAGAAGATGATGGGTGTGTATGTGTGTTTTCCCTTTTTCGCCAGCCCCAGAGAAGTTTACTCCCTCAGTTAGAAAAGTCAAGTTGAGTGATTAGTCAGCTGACTTTGTGGGATCCCCCTTCGTTCCTGAACTGCTGGAGGCTGCTCCTCGAGGCAGCGAGGCAGCGACAGTAGCTAGTCCATGAAATACTTTGACTACACCTGCTGTGAACAGAGGAGTCAGCCCCTGTGAGGCTCAAGATTTTAAGTAGAGTTCAGTTAGTAAAGAGGGACCAAAGCTGGTCTCTCCCCAGATTTCCTAAAGATGGAGACGCCTCAGTGGAAAGCCGACCTCCAGTCTTGGAAGGCTGAAGATCACAAGGTCCAGTCCAGCCTGGGCAGCAGAAAGATTCTGTTTCAAAACAGACAGACTCACCTTCACACACTTTGCAGAGGTTGCAGGACGGCCGCCCGCCCGTGCTGGAGTATGTGCTTGGGGGACAGCTGGTACACACAGGATTGTCTTTCTTGCAGAAGGTACCTGGAAGGCAACACAGGTGTCCGTGTCTGACAACACTTGACCATCATTCAAAGCATTATGAGGACATCAGAGCAAATGTTCCATTTATCCTCTAGGCATCTTGGCAATAGGCATGTTTACTGATTGGCGTTTTAAGACTATACATTTGCAGGGTGACCCCTGGCATAACCCAGCAACTAGGAATAACAGTATATAAATGCTGCAACAAAGAAATCAAGAGACAAAAACCCCGAGTCTGTTGATCTCCTCTGAGAGATCAGTGTAACAGGAGGGACCCAGAAGAGCGATGCTGCCACCTACTTGCTCCTGGCTGCAGAGTACATGTACCGTGTGCTGTTCTGAGCCTGTCCCGGGACCCTCCAAGCACCCCTCTAAGACAGCTTCTCTGACTGTACTCAAGTGGCAAGGTTGAGGAGCTGAGACTGAGTGAGCCAGATCCCCAGGGCCTCTTTGTTGTACCCAAAAAGCCTTTTCAAGGGAGTGCGCGGTCTTCCGAACGGAATAACCGGAATAACCGCACTGAGTTTTCAACAGTCAGAAAACGCACCGGTGGATTTGGTACTTACCAGCCTCACACTTGGCACAGGAATCCTGCAGGGCTCTTGTACTTTCAGTGACCACCACCAACAGCACCGTCACCACCATGTTGTAACAGCAGTTCCCCATGACAACCTCTTGCACACATACGACACTAGCAAAGGAGATTCCAAAAGAGTTTTAATCAAACGAGCTGCTCTCTGGCCGGTGGTGTGGCTCACTTGGTAGAGTGCCTACTTAAGAGGCATCAGTACTTCAGAAACCACGGTGGAGGTCCATGCCCGCAACCCCAGTATTCAAGACGCGGAGGCAGGAGGATCGAGAGTTCAAGGTCATTCTCACTGGCAAAGTAAGTTCAAGGCCAGCCTGGACTACAGGAGCCCTGTCTTTAAGAGAGGGGTTAATTCACAAATGTCATTCCGCAAAATATAAGCAGGGTAGGTTGTCCTTCCATAACTATTTGCCTTGCCAGCAGTACTTACACAGTCCTTCAGGGTTTTAAGGAGAATTTTAAGGACTATCAGGGCTGGAGGGATCGTTCAATGCTTGCTTTAGAACACACACTGCACTTGTAGAGGACCCAGGTTTGGTTCCCAACACCCATGTTGGGTAGCTCACAACTGTCTATAACTCCAACTCCTGGGGAGCCTATGCCTCTCGCCATCCACATTCAAGTGTACATACCACATACAAACATACACACAAAATCAAATACAATCAAAATTTTTAAAATTTTTTTAAAAATTTTTTTTTTAAAGCCTAGAATGTTATGAAAACAGCAAATCTACAGAGAGTTCTACAGTGGCCACTGACTTGGTGCACACCCACCAAAGCTCAGGCTGAAATGGGAGCAGGAACATTAGGGACTTTCAGATTCCTGGCATTGGCACCGTGCTGCAACCATGCTGCCGCTGAGGCAAAGTCATGACGGTGATGCCATCCAATGCCCCCTCAGTGAGAGGGGAGCCCGTGGTTATTGCTCTGCCCTCTGTGGCTGGGCATTTAATTGCTCTGACTGTGAAAGACTTTTGCTGAAAGTCACCGTCTGAGAGCTTCTTAAGCACAGACCTGCACTTGCCAATTTTGAAATTTGAAGTTTGTAGAAAAAAAAAAGGTAAAAATGGCAATTAAAAAATTCTGGGGCTAGGGATGAAGCTCAGCTGGTAGAGAGTGCGTCTGGCATACATCCCCTGCTCCATCCTCAGCACTCAATCAGTCAGCAGACACAGTGGTTCATATCTAATCCCAGCACCCAGAAGGTGGAAGCAAGAGAATCAGAAATTCAAAGTCTGAGACTAGACTGAACTAAATGAGATCTGTCTTAAAAAAAAAGAAAAGAAAAAAGGAAAGATGCGTGTTGAATTTCATTTTTTTGTCTTTATATAAATTACAACGGAAGAAAAGTCTAGAAATCTGCAGTGAGAACACAGTCCATCCTTACTTCTTTAGCCCCCACCCCACACACACAGCCCCAAGTAGACAAACCTTGTGATCTCAGGGCGGCGAAGAACCTTCTGCTCTGTGAGAAGCTCAGCGAGGTTCTGCCGCTCCAGAAGACCACAGGTCAAACCGTGACTCAACTGAGCAAAGCCTCCTGGGAAACCCCCTACGTAGCTCTGCGAGGTGGTTCTTTACCCCCGGCACTCTCAAAATACCCAGAACCCACTTGATAAGGTCGCTCTGAAGGGTTTCTTGGAATCAGCTGTCGACCATTAGGACATTTGCTAAACAACCTATAGGGAAAGGATTTGGTCACTTAACGTGGGGTGAGGTCAAACTAAGTAAACAGTGCTTTTGCCACAAGCCCTCTCCTAAACCACGCAAACAGAGAAGCATGCCCCTTAAACCCAGCACGGAGCTGCGCTGTGGAGTGCACCTGCTCACATCGCTAAGGGATCCAGGATCAGTCTCACCACACCACAGCTGTTATTAGGATGCGCGTATGCAAATGAGAGGATAAACGGGGGGGGGGCGGGGATCAACGGGATGTATCTACTGTGCCTGTGTGCCTGAGACCAGGGAGGAGGGAAAAATACAGGGCAGGGTAAAGGGAGGGAAGTCAGGCAGGCGTGAGTAGGCGCTAGGTGATGTTCCTGGGCAAAGTGGGGACCTGTGAGAATTTTTAGAGAAATGTTAAATTGAGAGAGAGAGAGAGAGAGAGAGAGAGAGAGAGAGAAGAAGAAGCGGGAGGGGGGGGAGGAGGAGGAGGAGGAGGAGGAGGAGGAAGAGGAGGAGGAGGAGGAAGAAGAGGATGAGGAAGAGGAAGAGGAGAAGGAGAAGGATGAGGAGGAGGAAAAGGAGGAGGAGGAGAACGAGAAGGAGGAAGAGGAGGACGAGGAGGAGGAAGAGGAGGAGGCGAAGGAAATGGAGAAGGTGGAGGGTGAAGAAAAGCAAAAAGGAGGAGGAAGAGAAAAGGAAGAGGAGGTGGGAAGAAGAAGGGGAGAAAGAAGGAAGAAAAGGAGGGGAGGGAGAAGTGTGGCATGAATAATAAAAGCCAGAGACAGATATTGGGGTTCAAGCTGAAGCTGAATATCAGAAGCGAATAGAGTTCTTACCTCTGCCAAGGCTCAGACAAACAAAGGGGCGATCCTGTCCTCAGGGTGACTGCAGACTGCAATGCTCCCTGTCAACCTCAGACTACAGTGAGCTCCTGTCTCCTCCTGCCTTATATTTCTCTCTCCACCCAGCTATATCACTACTGTTTCCACCTCCCTAGTGCTGGGATTAAAGACCTGTGACTCCAAGTGCTGGGATCACCTTTGTGTGAGTTCTATTTCTCTTTTTAGAGAGATTCGATCTGTAGCCCAGGGTGGCCTTGAGTCCTGGGATTAAAAGTGTGAGCCACCACTCTCTCGCCTCTAGTGGCTTAGCTCTACACTCTGATCTTCAAGCAAGATTTATTTATTAAAACACAATAAAATATCACTCCAGAGGGGGGAGGAAGAAAGAAGGAATGGAGGAAGGAGAAGAGGGAAAAGGAACGGAGGAAGTGGCTGTATGGAAGCTGAGATAAACTTGTTCATCAAAGGTGGGAGAGGGGTTCATAGTGAGAGAGACTGTGTTGTGCCCAGAGTCCGGACCCCTAAAGACCACCAAAAGACCAGATCCGACGTAAAATCAAAGAGTATCTTTAATTACAAGTTCAAACTTGGTTCTCTCTTCTGTCCATAGTAGCAGAGGAGCAGGAGAGACCCTGAGCCACAGTGGGGCAGGGCATTTTGGGGGGATAGAGCAAGGTTGGGGAGGGTGTCTGGGAGTTTGCAAGTTGCATAGTAACAGTCTCAGGATTGGCGCACCTCTGGGCTGGGGGAACCTGTACTGAGCTGATTGTTCAGCTGCAGCTGTGGAAAGGTTGCTATACCTGGAGGCCATCTGAAGACCAAAGACCATTGCTACGGTTACTGCAGGCCATCCTCACAAATAAAGCACTTCCAGAGCCTGCCAGCTAACTTCTGATTGGTTCCTAATCACAAGGAGAACACCTGGAAGTTTCTTCCCAGTAATTAGGGCAAAGTCAGGCAAGGGGGGTGACAGCTTAACACATCCTGCTGAGTCAGGGGCTTACATCCTGAGGGCCTGGCTCCTTTATTCCCCACTTCTAGAAGTACCCATGACAAGACCCAATCATGGGTCCTGCCTACCTAGGGGCTCAAGGGGGTGGTATCAGAACCTAAGAGCCTTTAGCTGACAGATTTTTCAAGGCAAACATCTGGCATGCAGGTGGTCCTAGGCTACCCCTCTAAGAAAGTTTTTTTTTAACCTCAAAGTGTTGAGACCCATTGAGACCCAAGGTTACTCCAAGCCCTTTGCCAGACTGCTTAGGTCATTGTCTTCTGCATCACAAGGAACGAACACCCCAGTTTCTGGTTAGCATTTGGGGTTTATGACTGTGACCCTAATTTTTAGCTTTTTATTCTAAGTCCAAATATTAATAATATAAAATGTTTTATAAGCATATATGCCCCATAACCTTCTAAATTTAAATATTTTTAAGACTGTTCTTAAAAAAAATTTTGAAATCTCTCAAATGTCTCCCTGCAATATCAAAAATAAAGTGCCCATTTTTAGCTCTAAGAGGGAGAAAGCATGGCACAACCACATCTGTATGAGGCCAAACCAAGCTCCAATAGTGTAAACAATCAAAGTTCAGTAACTGGGATTTATTTATAATCCTGGTAGGTTTTTTGGGGGGGGGGGCTTGGGTCACCTCTTTGGCCCCACCCTCACAGCACACGCACAACCCTGCCTTCTAGACCTCAGCCTGCTCCACTTCACGGTAGCTGGTGCTTCTGGTGACTGTCACCAGGCAGTGGCAGTTCTAAAACTGTTAGGGTCCATCCTTACAACTGGACTCTGGGACGCTGGTCTCAGCTGTTCCGTATAAGCCCTTTATATCTTTAAAACCATTAACACCTGGGTGACTCTTAAATTACAAAGTTTACCTGCCAGAGTAAGGCTCATTCTTGTGTGTGAAAGCCCTGAGGTGTGGCTTTAATACTTTAAATCCTATCTTCTTATAAACCTTGTTTTCAGGACAGGCCATTAATCATCATATAAAAATCTAACCCAATCCGCACTGTCTCCGAGATCTGTTGTTGCCTCCTTGCTAGGCCCACTCCACGTGGTCACCTTCAGTCAAGATGGTGGCAAAGCCATTTGACATCCATCTTTTCAAACTTCAGCAAAATGGCAACCAGTCATGTGGCTGACTAAAAATGACGGCAATTCAAATTGGAATCATGTCATACGGTTCTATAAAATTACCTATGCATAGATTTTAAGTGATCAGTTTCCAGTGTTACTAGTTTTAGCTCTTTAACTAGTTTCAATTTTAACAGATTTTAAACCATACCAAACAAAATAAGTTTATAAATTTTAAAGTACAGAATGTTCACATAAATCAAGTGCGGGGGGCGGGGGGCTGTTCTGCTTTGTTTGCTTCTCCTTGCCACTGTGTCAGGGTCTCAGACGGACGGAGCAACAGAGAGGAGACTCTTAAATAAGCATGCCTGACTCTAGGGAAGGAAGAGCCAGAATCCAGCTCTAGAGCCAGCTTTCCAACAAAAAACAGCTTTTATGCTTCAGCTCCATACTTGCAACAAAAATTATGAACACACCAAAAAACACAGACAAAACTTTCCAACAAAACAAGCAAAACTTTTTAACCAGAATTAACCTAATGTGGTCAAATTTTCAACTTATTTTTATGGTTTCTTTTTTAATTCACTATTTGCAGGTATGAAAAACCACAGCAAACATAGATCACATCCCCTCTGGCCTTCTACAATGTTTTATAGACCTTCAGTCCATTCTTCGGGTTTCTCAGACATTCTGACTTCAGACACATCCCTCTTTCTCTTTCCTTCTCCTTTTATGTCAGTCTCCTGATTTCTTCTTCCCGACAGCATAAAAACTTATCCCAAAGTCTTTCTTGTGGTTTCAATAACTCTAAATTTGCATCAACACATAAAATCCCGTGCCAGTATGAAGCATCTGAGACTAACAGTAGTGTTTTCTTACCCTAACCACTAATAATTTATAACCAACCTCTTAAAATGATGACAAGTATTTATAATGCCTGGGATCTGAATGACCAGAGCAGCCCTGGTGGAGGGAAGTCTGGCCACAGCATCACAACATCACCATAGCTTAGCACCCATTGACAGTGACTCCCTGCCCTAGGCCACCCAGACAAACCTATTTGGCTGGAAGTCAGGGGAGGCTGCAGGAACCCCATCCACTAGCATGCGAGGGGATGAAAGAAGACTGTTAACTTCTACAGCCATAGCAAGCAACCCTGGATTCTCTGTCCAGCATTCACGCAGTTTATGAACTGCAGGCAGTCAATTCCTCCCCACCTCATTCCTGCCCCCAGCAAGAGTCACAGTTGACTGCAGGCCAGAGAGCAAGAGAACAGCAGAAGGAGACTGCCCTCGCCCCTGCCTCAGGAAAATAAGGGAGGTTAGCATACAGAAACAATTAACAATGACACAAGACAGCCAGGTACACTAACACTGAAATGACTGCCTCCTTTGGTGTTAGCAAGTCCCATCTAACAGATGGCCTCTCTTGCAGTTCACAGGCCCCACCTGACAGGAGCTACCTCATTGAAGCTTTTCAGAGATATGAACACATGGAACAGAACAGCAGCATAGTAACAGTCGGATGAAGACAAAGAGCACTCACTGACTCCCAGCCAGTTTATCAGATTCTCAATGTGGTGGAGTGACTAGGAACTTGGTTCATGACCTTAGGGTAATCAAACCACCAAAACAGAGGAACAAACACAATAAGATACAAGCACACAATGACAAACAAGATAGATGGCCATGCACAGATCCAAAAATGAGACAACAGAGTAATGGCTTTGCAGTTGCAACCTGCTCAATCTCTCCATGGGAACTAGGAGGATTCAATCCTCCCCAAAGGGCCTCCCAACTCACCCGCAGGGTAACTGGGACATCTCCCAATCACCTCAGCCTGTGATCCGCCAATGCATTCATCTAGATCCTATGTAGGCTTCCCAGAAGGAGCTCCAACATCCAGAAAGACATACCAGAACTTGCCTGGGCAAAATAAAAAGTTACCTG